GCCTAAAAAGCATGAAAGAATCAACTATAAGACTCTTAAAATTATTTAAAACTATTGAATATCATTCAGAAATAATTTGGATTTGTTTGTTTGTTTGTTTGTTATGTACCAGCAATATTAGTTTGAAGACATCATAAAAAATACTTATTATATTTAATATTTATTTAATAATATTTAATATTTCAATAGCATTCAAAAATACTATTGAAAACGCAAAAAGTTGCTATTCAGAGAGAGAGGCACACCATATTCCTTCATAGGTAGTTTAAATTCTTCCTAAAATGATTTATAGATTTAAGAAAATTTCACTTATTTTGAAAGGATTGAAAAGATTTTTCCTTTGGGGAAAGAACAACAATTTGGAAGAATGCTTTTAAGTTCACAAAGAAGACAAATAAGAAGAGCTGAAATCAGGCAATCATTTAGGAAAATAAAAAGATAAAGGCAGCACCACTTACCATGTGTTATTAAAGTCTTTTGCTTATATAGTGCTTAAGTCTATAGTATTTAGAATTATATTGGCATGAGAATCACTAGCAGTGAAAGAACGGTTTAGACTATAAAATTATTAAAGTTTTCGTGCTTTTTTTTTACTTGAACAATACAAAATATTATCAAAAGTGTAATAAGACAGGCACTCCTTCATCATATCAGTGAGGCTGTATATCATATCACACTTCCAAGAAAGGAGATTGGCACTAAGTATCTAGCATTAAAAGTGTTTATACTCAAGAATTACACTTTTAGGAGTCTAGCCCAAGAAATTAATAGCAATACAGCCAATGATTTATGTAAAAAACTTTTAAGCACCAATAATTCATAATCGTAAAAAGAATAAAAATTAGCCAACAGTGAGAGAATAGTTAAATATTTTATTGAATATATAAACTTCAGGATATAATATAGCTACTAAAAAACATATTTCGATGAATATTTAATAGCATGGAAACATTCTTAGGTTATATGAATAAGGGAAAAGAGCAGGAAACATACCAGTATAAGCCCAATTCGGGGGCAGGGAGAAGTACACTGAAAAAGAAAAAGCACCAAAACATTAACAGTCTTTATTTCTGAAGAGCATAATAATGATAGTCATTTTATTTTTTAGTACTTTTCTGAATTTTCTCAGTGGTGAGGAAGAGATTAGTTTTAAATCCCCAACAATTAAAGTGAAACAGCAAAGAATACACTGTTAATGAAAAAATTATTCTGATGCTTGTCGACTCTATTCAGGGGAACTACTGTGTGAGTATAGGGACCCCTGTGCCGTGGTTTTTCAGCAGAGGAGAGACAGGGGTCTCGTATCTGAATACAACAAAGAAAAGTGGGAATTTATAGCCAAGGAGTGTGTGAGGAGCAGCGAGTGGATAGAAAATTATTAAGAGGAAACATCACGGGTAAGAGAGATTCTAGTTAACTTTACCT